GATCGCGCCCCGGAGTCCAGACTGCGAGGGCGTGGACACGGAGACGTTCGCCGCTCGTGAGCACGTTCCGACCGACCCAGTTTCCCGATCCGATGCTGACCGATCCGATGAGACCAGGACGACGACGACGACGACGACGACGACGACGACGCGACGACGACGACGACGACGACGACGACGACGACGACGACGACGACGACGACGACGACCACGACCACGACGACGACGACGACGACGACGACGACGACGACGACCCGCGGCGTAGTACGTGGGCTCCTGCGGCATCTACGTCCTCGCTGGCCGCGGCGGCGAGCGGCGGCTGCTGGTCCACAGGCGCAGCCGCCAGGCCAGCGCGCCACCGCCCGCCCCGGCTGCCCCTGCTGCTGCCGGCTGCGGCGGCGGAGGTCGAGCGCGAGGCCAGGTGCTCTAGGATGAGGTCGGGCCTGTCCCTCTACAGGGGGAAAATTCTAAAAGAGTCAAAAGATAGCCTGGGGACCATTTTTCGACCATGTGTGGACTATTATTAAGCAGTTTTTGGGTATTATTCATTTTTCGTTCAACATCCGCCTGTAGGGGGACAGGCCCGACCTAAGGCTAGGTGCTCTAGGATCATTTCCCATCTTCGGCGGACCTTTTTTGTTCTGTATTCCTCGGTTTCTTGATAAGGTTGGGGAGGGTCCCCCCCCCCGACGGGGGTCAACCTCGCCTCGTCGTCACGCCGCGACGGGGGTTGGAGCGCCTTCGGCGCGTGGTGGCTGCCCGCGACGGGGGTCGATGTGGGCTGTCGGCGGGGGCGACGCCCCCCCGACGCTTATGAAGAGACTCGGAGTAAGTTTCTATGTATTCTTGCACTCCGACGTAGGATCGATTCGGATTCGATGTGAATTAGGCGTGTATTCCACGTGGATTCGACATGGATGCGACACGGATGCGACGCGCTCGACACGGATTCGACACGGATTCGACGCGGAACGCGGCGCGACGGGACAGAAAAGGTTCTTAGAAGATGCAACACAATTAGGAACGTGCCACCGGAACCAGCCAATATGGAATGATTTGGGCCGCCGATTCTTCAAGGTTGACTGCTGGGGTCCTCCGTAATCGCGTTTCTTGTCGAGGACGTGCTCGTGTCGAGGACGTGCGCCCCGTCTTGGACGCGTCGAGGTTGACACGATCCCGCTGTGATTCCTTGGACCGTGCTGGCCGGCCTGCGATTCATACCTTCGCCGATCATCGATTCAGGCAACTCGATGGGCGGCGGGGCAGGGTTCGTAGTTCGTCGAACACGTAGAATCCGAGTCCTACCCCTGCCTCCCATCGATCCATGAGAATCGATGGTTGGCCGAGGTAGGGTTCGCATGTCGACACCTAGGAGTGGGCAAAGTGCCAAGATGTCCCCTCGCTGTGAACGAATCATGGCGGACGGCTTCTGCTAGTTTTCGGCCTCCGGGGGGCCCTCGCCAGGCCCTCGGACCGTTAAAAGACGACTCAGGATGAAAAGCTGACATCCGACGTTCTGTTTTTTCCCAACCATCCTGTGGTGTTGGTTCCTCGTTTTGAGGAGACAACGCCCCGCGTTCCACTCCTCTCCTCCCCTCTTCCCTCCTCCCATCTCTTGCGCCCCTGACACGTTTCGTGGCCCCATTGGGAGCTCAACCGAAGGCCCCAATGGCAGGGTTCGTATGCAGTTCCACTTCCATTTCGGCACACCCGTCGTACGTTTCGTGGCCCCATTAGGGGCTCCACCGAAGGCCCCAGTGGCAGGGTTCGCATGCTGTTCCGCCCCCATGTCGGCACACCCCTCACGTTTCGTGGCCACATAAGGGGGCTCTACCGATGGCCCCAGTGGTAGGGTTCGCATGCAGTTCCGCCCCCAATGTCGGTCATGGCCTTATAGGGAACTCCACCGGAGGCTCCAGTGGCAGGGTTTTGTTGTCGGCACACCCCTCCCACGTTTCGTGGCCCCATAGGGAGCTCCACCGAAGGCCCCAGTGGCAAGGTTCGCATGCGGTTTCACACCTAATTTTGGCATACCCCTCGCACGTTTCGTGGCCCCATAGGGAACTCCACCGGAGGCCTAAGTGGCAGGGTTCGCATACGGTTCCGCCCCGAATTTCGGCACTCCCCTCGCAAGTTTCGTGGCCCCGTGGGGAGCTCCACCCAAGGCCCCAGTGGCAGGGTTCGCATGCGGTTCCACCCCATGTCAGCACATCTCTGACACAATTCGTGGCCCCATAGGGAGCTCCACCGGAGACGATATTCACGACTGCGGCACTCAAAACTGCATATGGTCGGGTCCTTCTCCAGTTTATTGTTCGATGCGTGGTCCCCTGGACCTTCTGACCTTTGCCCAGGGGCTGTCTTTTTCGCTTTGGACTGTTCCCAGCCCTCCTGGTTGTTTGGCTCTCGTTTTGAATCAGCAGCGACCCGCGTCTCCCACCCCTTCCTCCTCTGTCCCTTCTCCTTATAGATAAATCCTCAGTGTCGCACCCCCAGACGAGTCGGTATGGTCGGCTGGGCGGTTCGTCTGGAATTTCATCACAATTTCTGATCCTGAAGCTTCACACTTGCACGAGTCTCACGGATTGAGGTCGTGCCGGATTCAAGATGTGGCTCTCACCTTTTAGCGCCGCACATCTCCGTTCGAAAAGCTTGCAACAGTTTTAAGGGTGGAGGGCGGGTCCTTCTCAAAGTGTGGCTGTTGCCTTAGCGCCGCGCGCATTCGTCTCAAACATTTGCAGCAGTTTCCAGGATGGAGGGCAGATCCTTTTCAAGATGTGGCTCTCGTCTCAGCGCCGAGCACATTCGTTGCAAAGTTTGCAGCAGTTTCAGAGATGGTGGGCGGGTTCGCATGACGGCGCCGCGCCGATTCTGGCGCACCCTCACATTTTGTTTGTCCGGCCCTACAGGTGGCTCCTTCGAAGGGTTCAGTGGGAGAGTTCGCATGGCATTTCGGCCGTCTTCGTTGTCTTTTTTGCCTTCCCCCATCCTGCCCTTCCTTGTTGTCGTCTTCACCCTCCTCCATCTCTTCCTCCTCTTCTTCTTCTTCCTCCTCCTCCTCCTCCTCCTCTCCTCCCTTGAGATCCGACGTCGCAGAAATATTAGTGACGCTTGGCGCCTGCCCACCATCCCATTCATACGCGACGCCCAGGAAGCAGTGGAACAAAGAGGGGGGTAGCTGCCAAATCGAAGCCCAGGATCAGCCTTGATCAGACCAAGGAGTGAACCATACATGCCTTATCGGAATTTTCGATGTGGGAGTCTCTTGGCAGCTCACCTGGGCGATCTTGCGGCTGTTGCGAAGGCCTTAGGCCGGTGCCGCCGACCCTGAAGGGGGACGACGGCGACGACGACGACGGCGATGACGACGACGACGACGACGACGCTGACGCTCTGGAGGCCAAAGTTTCTCCCAGGGAGGGGTGCTTACCCGGGGGGAGGGTCACAACCCCCGGGGACCCCAACCCGGGGACCCCCCCCGCCCCCCCGGCGGGGAAGGGATCAAAGGGAAGGGGCTTGTCGTCAACTCCATTACGACGTTGTTCGATTTCCATCTGGATGGAACGCTTGAGGGGGAGCGGCACGGACGACGACGACGAGTCAAACGGAAATGCCTCTCACACGCCGACAGGGTCGGCAGCTCGAGCTTTGGCTTGAGCCTAAATGTAGGCCCTTGGAGGCCCAGCTACGACAACAACGGCTCCCGCTCGATACTTCCTCACAATTTACCCCGAGGCACCCTGGCCAGAGAAGCCCCCGAACTCAGGAACGTCGCTCTCGCTCGAGACTTCCTCGCAATTCAATTAAGTTGGCGGAGGCCCAGCCACGACGACAAGGGCTCCTGCTCGATACTTCCTCACGATTTCCTCCGAGAGCCCCTGGCCAAGAAGGCCCCCGAACTCAGGAACGGCGCTCTCGCTTGAGACTTCCTCGCAATTCAATTAAGTTGGCGGAGGCCCAGCCACGACGACAAGGGCTCCTGCTCGACACTTCCTCACGATTTCCTTCGAGAGCCCCTGGCCAGGAAGGCCCCCGAACTCAGGAACGGCGCTCTCGCTTGAAACTTCCTCGGAATTCAGGCAAGTTGGTGGAGGCCCAGCCGCGACGACAAGGGCTCCTGCTCGATACTTCCTCACGGTTTACTTCGAGAGCCCCTGGCCAAGAAGGCCCCCGAACTCAGGAACGGCGTTTTTTTTACTTTCCCGTAATTCAGGCAAGTTGGTGGAGGCCCAGCCACGGCGACAAGGGCTCCCGTTCAATATTGATATTTCTCCATAGGTTTTCCGAGAACCTCTGGCCAGAGAGGCCCCCGAACTCAGGAACGGCGCTCTTGCTCGAGATTTCTTCGCACTTCAGTCAGTGACCAACAAGGAAGAGATTACCTCCGACAGGGGGTGTAATCGAAGACGAAGTTGGCGGGTATCGAGGGTTGGGGTATACGGAATGCCACACACGCGTGCCAGTAAGAGCGAACAGTCTTAACATGATTGCTGTTGTAACCGTTGTTGTTGTTGTTGTTGGTGTTGTTGTTTTGGTTGTTGCTGTTGTTGTTGTCGTTGTCGTTCTTGCTGTTGTTGTTGTTGTTGTTGTTGTTGTTGTTGTTGTTGTTGTTGTTGTTGTTGTTGTTGTTGTTGTTGTTGTTGTGATTGTTGTGGTGGTGGTGGTGGTGGTTGTTGTTGTTCTTGTTCTTGTTGTTGTTGTTGTTGTTGTTGTTGTTGTTGTTGTTGTTGTTGTTGTTGAGGTTGTTGTTGTTGTTGTTGTTGTTGTTGTTGTTGTTGTTGTTGTCGTTGTTGTTGTTATGGTTGTTGTCGTTGCCGTCGTCGTCGTCGTCGTCGTCGTCGGCGGCGCCATCGTCCTCCCTCCTATCCCCCAGTCTCCCCTTCCTGTTGCCCCCCCCTCTTTCCATGCAGGTCTGCGGGGCGGGCGTGGGGGCGGCCGGCCCCCGGGGAGGTCTCCGAGCCCAACACCATCTGCGCCCCCGGCGGCATCGTCGAGCGCTGGCGCGCTTCCGGGGGGTGGGCTCCGAGGCGGGGATTTATACCCTGGGTTTTTGAATACCCAGACATCGGTCGTCTCGAAAAAATTGAGACGGAGGTTGTTCGCAGTTTTTCGCATCTCGGGGCCCTCGCCAGGCCTCGGGACCGTCAAAAAACGACTCGGGATGAAAAATCGGTTCCGGGGAAGTGGTCGGGAGGTCGGAGGCCCGTGTCTCGAAAAAAATCGAGACGTCGGATGCCTGGGTGAGGGTGGGGGGGTGCGCCCCCGACGGGGGTCAACCTCGCCTCGGTGTCGCGCCGCGACGGGGGTTGGAGCGCCTTCGGCGCCTGGTGGCTGCCCGGCTGTCGGCGGAGGTGACGCCCCCCCCCCCCCGACGCTTCTTCAGAAACTCGGAGTACATCTCACCGAGCGCGCGTTCCACTACTCGCAAAGTGCTTGCAAACGTCAAAAAACACGTGCTTGCCTCGATGTAGTGGATCGTAGATACCCCGCGGCGGATCCTGGCCGTTTGCGAGTAGTCACCTCGCGAGGAGTGGAACGAGCCTGCCTAACGTAACCACTGCCTGGAGGACCGAATCTGTGATACCTCGACAGGCGGTGGACATGGATGCATTCGGGCCCCCTGGGGCCCAACTATATATGTCCATATCCACCGCCGGGTGGGGTCCCAGTGTCCCAGGACGTCGGTTCCACGTGCGGTGGATACGGATACATCCCCGCCTCGCATGGGCGGTTGGCCAGTGGCGGCGGCCTCACCTCCTCCAAGGTTTGTTTCCAGCTCCTCGGCCTCCTCCTTTCTCCTCGTTTCTCCGTCCTCCTCCGCGTCGTTTCGCCTCCTCCTCCTCTTCCGCGTCACTTTCCCTTCCTCTTCCCCCCCCCGTTCCGCCCTTCGCCTGCTTGTCGTCTCGCCTCCCCGTTCTCCTCCCTTCTCTCTCCTCGTGTCTCCTTCCCTCTCCTCCGCCTTCTTCTGCCCTCCCCGCTGGTTGAGCCTTCCGTGCTCTTGCCTCGTCCTCCCTGTCCGCCTCCTCCCTCCTCGTCCTCGTGCTCCTCGTGCCCTTCCTGCTGGGGCTGCTCCTCCTCCCCTCCTTCAGGAACGCTACACCCCGCAGAGTCCGACACCAACGAACCACAGCCAGCAGCGACACCAAACAGTGGAGTCGAAGAAGGCAGTGATAGTCGAAGAAGGCAGTGGTGCGACGGTGACGGACTCCGAGGACGCCTTCCCGGACAGCCTGGCCCTCACCACGCTGGTGGACCCCTTCGGCGTCTTCACCAAAGCAGGTACTTTCCGAGGTGCCCTCTACTTCTTCCATTGGTCCAGGGAACTAGCGGCAGCCAGCGGCATCGTCAAGGGCCACAGGGCCTACGACGCGGTTCGGTGGCCACCAGGCCACGTGACCGAACTCGTCGCTGGCGACGGCCAGGCGCCACGGGCCACATCGTGACCTTTTGCTACTCGCAGCCATACTGCGGTTTGAACCTGCCTCTTCGTCGGATGTGTAACGCTTGCGACGGCCCAGGATGGTGCTGCGGCGATCCGCCAAGACGCCGAGCCACCTATATCCAGGGGCCGCACCACGTAGGACGGGCCAGCCACGGCGACCTACGCCAACAACCTATTCCCAGGGATCACAAACTGCTCGCCAGGGCTCATTTGACGGCGCAAACTGCGGCCCATGCAGTGAGCGACGCCATCCTGCACATGCTCATCACGGCCAGGGCCTGGTTCATCATGTCTTCGGCCTGGATCCGCGCCTGCACCAGACAGCACTGGAAGGCTATGCCCATCTGCGCGGGAGCGTGCGTTGGACACGGGATCGTATGCACGACCAGCACCCGCGCGGTGGAATGGTGCCCAGGCCACGGGTTAGTGGGTTCTTGAGTGCTGCGGCATGCGTTCCTGGGTGAGCAGTCTCACCAGAGCCGGTGCTGCACCGTCGGAACTAGCCACGCCCCTCGTCGCAAACCCGCCAGCGGAAGCTCTCCACGGCCAATATCGACACCGTCAAACGATTCTACGGCCCCCATAGAGGGCAGAGGCCATGGACTGTGCAGCCTTGCACGCAGCCGCAGCCGCAGCCAGTGCCCACGCCAAGGTCGACGGGGCACCGGCCCAGTCGCACGCGCAGTGCCGCAGCAGAGGGCTAGTCCACGCCGCGATTCAGCGACATCGAGCGCCACCGGTGGCGACCCGTCACACCAACCCAGCGGGTGGCTGAGTACGCAACGATCGACCCAGCCAAGCTGCCACCAGCGCCATTCCTATATCAGCTGCTAGTCAGGACAGACAAGGCACCATTCAGGGGCCACCGCGCCCCGCAGCAGCCTGCACACCTCTTCGACACTCGCAGAAAGAGGCTTGACCAGTGGCCCAGAGCCGAGGAGGTGCCAGAGGCGCTGCAGTACAACCACGGCGAAGCGGCCGAAGGGGCAGACCCCGCAATCCACATCATCATCGACCTCTATACAGCGGACGTGGAGCGAAGGGTCATCGGCAGCACGGGGACCAGGGAAGACGCTGCCACCGCCGGGGCTGCCCGACTCCCACGGGGGCCTGGGATCGAGCTGAGCCGTCGGAGCGCGCCCGCGCCTGCTGCGGCCCTGTTTCACGCTGCGCGCGTCGAGAACATCCGCCGCATGCGACAGCAGGGGTGGGCGATGCTACCAGGCCCAAGGAGGGGGGTGGCAGGTGCTAGGCCACCAGGCCGCATCTACGCCAGTCCACATCTTGCACGCGCGGCAAAGTATTGCACCTTGGTAGCCAATCGCTTTAGCGCGGTATAGGGGGCCCAGAGCGCAAGGCCCCATCACCATCTTCATACGCGAAGCCCAACCCGCGCCAGTGGGTTCCAGCGACCCCACGGCCACAGTGCAGCACGTTCAAGGGAATTAGGCATCCAGCCGTGCTGATGCACCAAAAGGTTACCCAACTGCCCATCCGACGGGGCGACGCCGGCATCGCCGAGGGGTCGTCGTGGGTCGGGTTCGACGGCGCGCGCAGGTCATGTTCTTTTCTTTGTTTGAATTACCGATCGTCCCATCTTCCAAGCGGCTGAGACAACGGGCGCAGAGGTGGCCAGGTGACGGGGCACCGTCTGCCCAGCGTGGTCCACAGGTATGGCGCTCCGCTTCCCGCGAGCGGCCCGCGTGTAGCTGCAAAGGCAGCGGCAGAAGGCCACGTTCCTCCCTGACGAACCAGAACCGGGCCTGGCTCAACAGCGTATCGGCTCTGCGCCGAAAAACTTAGGCCAAGGGAAAATGGTCAAAGCGCGAGAGCTATCTCGGGTACCCTCTGATTCAGACCCAGGTGGGTTCTTGCCGGGGGATGCCCTGGGTGCCATCTACAAGGCGCTTGCTCAGAAGGCGCACCGCCGTGCGCGAGCTCGAAATGTCAACTCCCCAAGCACGAGCAGCGCGCCGAACTGCGACGCCATCGATCGCCCGCGCCCGAGGAGATGCAAAGATTAAGCCTCAAGGTGAGTCAGGCCCTGCGGACCGCCAGGGCCGCGCAGCCACGCTCCAACCCGAGCTCGACCGCGTCCGCGCCCCGCGCGGGCCACCCGGGCTGTCGCGAAGGGGCCGCGCAGGGTGCAGGGCCGCAGCGCCACGCGCGGCCCCACCATCGCACCAGTGCGTAGGCCCCTGTCACCGCTGAGCAAATCTGGCCGGCCCCGAAGAATATGCTTTCTCGGGCAGGGGAGGTGCCGAGCTGGTGGAAGAAACCGTCGGCTCGCGCATCGGCAGCATGCAAGAAGTGGACGTCGACCAGCTGCTGGAAGGGTACCGACTCGACCTGGCCGCGCGCTCCTACTGCGTCACCCACTGGCTCGTCCGAGCGGTGCCAGACCAAGCGAGTGCGCCAGGTTGGCCCTCGTGCGACGCGCCAGACAGACGTCGGACTCGCGGCGGGTCGTGCCTCTCCTGGGATGTCATCGCAGGGCTTATGTGCTAAGCTAAGCCCCCCGTGCGGTGGGTGAACCCCGTGTAACGTCAACGGCGCCCGCGCGTGGCCTGCCGACACCTTGGCAGATCAAGCTGCAGGGGCGCGCGGCACCTTAATTGGCCTGGAGAGTGTAAATCTACAGCTCTGGCCACTTGACCTGCGCTACCAGGTGGTCTGCCCCGCGCAGGCTGTCAACTCTTCGGGCTGCAGCTGGGGGCCTGGCGCGCCGTGGAGAAGAGGGCCTCATGCCAGCGACGACGCATCTGGGTGACGGGTATGCGCCAAGCCCCACTTAGCATTCAACGTATGGCCGTCTCTGTGCGCTACCTCCAAGACTACCAGGACCTCGATCAGCGCGCCTCGCCTCAATGTGCGAAGTGCGGTGGCAGATGGTACAAGCAAGTCGTAGAATAGTTTGCGAAACCGTGCGGAGGCGAGTTGCAAACCGATGGGTGCTCATTCGCTTTGCCTGGCAACGAAGGGCCCTGCGCATGTGGCGTCAGCGGCCGCGACATCGGCCCGGCTCTGGAAGCACGTAATACCGAAAGCCAAGCGGCAGGCGCTCCACACGTCGGAGTTTCACCGACGGCCGGCGCCCGCGTCGCCAGCCGGGGGCCGCCGCCAGACGCCAGACCATCAGACGATGAGCAGCGCGGCCCAATCAGTGGCGCGCCCTTGGTGCTTTGCCACCGGCCACCGCCTAGGCGATTGGGTCGCCATGTCTTCTCGCCCAGCCTGCGGGTTGCGCTGCCCCGTGCGGTGGACGTGCTTACCGACGGCCACTTGTCCCCCAACGAGCTCTGAAAAACAAGGCCGGCGCCCCAGTGCCAGACGACTCGCCAAGTCAGCCCCCCAGGGCTCCGCCGATGGTCGCCCTCAGGGGCCGACCTCCATTCGTCCCGTGAAGCTTGGCCCCGCCGTGCCTGTCGCGTGGGACTTCATTCCCGGCGCAGACGGTTGATGACGGGTTGGCGGGGCAGACGTCGCAACCGAGACAGCCAATGCGGCCAGCGCTCAGCCACCGCCCGGAGGAGACCGCGCGGCGAGCCCTAGTGGCGG